GTGGTTAGCCACTGTGAAGAAAGCACAGTGGCTAGATGCTGGTTCAGCCAAAGCTGAACTCGGAGATGAAATGAAAGATGCACCAGGATGTGATCTGCTCCATACAAAATTTCCCCATCTGCGTGACCATGATGAGATTCTGTCCTGAAGAAACGGGACAGTTTATGAAGACTGGGCATCACATGCAAACACACGATATGAACCTTGTTACTACTCCTGTCTGCAAGGAAAAAAAGCCTAGAAAGGTGTATGATACTCATGGAATGGACGTGAAAATTTTACTGGTTAAGTACAAGTTTGGGGGACTAGCAGACGGCATTTAACAGGTACATCGTTGGACTCACAGTCAACCACAGTTCATCCAGACCCGTGGCCTAAAATTCACGCCAGTCGCGTGTGCAGGGGTGCCCAAAATCCCAAGAGAAGAATGGAAGAGAAGGCATTGTGGTGTGGCCATCCCCCAGGGGGTCATTTCTCACTTTCTGTCTTTTTGGCAAGCACACATACCCTATAGCAAAAATCTCTTAAAACAAAACAAAAAACAAGTTTGGGGCCAGCCTTTAGTGTGGTGGTTAAGGCAGCTTGGTCCCACATAGCCAACTAACTACCTGGTTTGTTTCTTAGACCCAGTGGCTTCAGAAATACACCAGGCATGTGTGCTTGTGTACCCAAAATCTCAAAAGGAGGCAGAAATGCAGGATAAAGGATTGTGAGGCAAATACTCCTCATGGGGGCTGCCTTTGCCTTTGTCTCTGGTGAGCATATATGCCCTTAGGCAGGAAAAAAAAAAAGCAGGAAGGAAAGAAAGAATGGTTGGACAGAGGACAAATATCCTGGTTCAGCTCTAGTAACTGACCTTCATAGCTAAGATATAAAATTATTTGGGAAGGGGCGGCAGGTACCGTGGTAGTTAAGGGCGCTAGACTCCCACATAGCTAATCACGGTTAGAGTCCTGGAGCTGGTGGCTTGCTTTCTCTCTCTCTCTCTCTCTCTCTCTCTCTCGGGTCAAATTTAAATAAATTAATAAATAAATAATTTTAAAAACTATTTGGGAAGTATGAAAAAACATCTTGCGGTCAAAGTGTGCCCTTACACCTGTAATATTTGGTCTCCAGGAATGGTGGTATAATCATAAATAATGTCAAACTCTACTTTCTAAAAAGTATTAATTATTAGAAAATTATGTTTACAAAAATATAACATAATTTAAAAATAATAAAAAAGCTGTACTTCTTACTATTTGACAGTGAATGAGCAGTTCCTACATTAGAGAAAGCCAAGACTGCTCTAAAACTAGTACACTGATACTTTTTATAAGCTCTTAAACAATAATGCACCCAGCAGAGATTTTAGGAGCTTGAACCCTGAAATTGCTAATATGGCTCACCTTAAGCTACTACTGTTGACAACAAAAGTATTTTACACTATATTTCTAAAACTAGCTGAAAGAAATGCAGCACAGACTCTGGGTTGACTCCAAAGTACAGCAGTAATGGAATGCTGAAGAGAAACCAGATCCCATATGGTGATCAAGGTTCAAGTCCTTGGTCTGGTCAGCCTGAAACACATCGGGCAGGCATGCAAGTGCCCAATATCCAATTTTGGAGGACCAGAAGAAGGGGATCTGGGCATAAACAGACCCTGTAGAGAGTTCTTATCTCTGCACCCCACCCCTGCCTCTCGAACTCAGGTGCACATGCTCTATCATAAATAAAGAAAAAGGTAGCATGGGCCCAAGAAATGGAAGGAAACTAAACCTGAAGTTTACTGCCGAGCCTAGAGCTGCCAGTTGAACATCTTTTCTTACTTCTCAGTGACACAAATTTCTTATCATTGTCTCTAAACTATTCCTCCTCTTTTGTTCTATATTTCTGTTCTAGCACATGCTATTCAAGTACTTGCTATCATTAATATTTTGTAAATAGTTCATAAAAGAGGCTATAGAAGCACTAGACTCTCTGAACCAGCTCTCTGATTTAAGAAATAGATCCACTTCTCACCTTACAATTAATTTAAAAAGTAAAATATAAGGACCAGCAGTTAGCGTAATGGCTATGTCGCTGGACTCCCATGTAGCCGACCGTGGTTCGAGCCCCAGACCTGGCGACTTAAACTCACACTGGGCGCGTGTGCGTGCGTGCCCAAGATCATGAGAGGAGAATGGAGGAGAGGGGACTGCGGCGTGACCATCCCCCCTGGGGGGTGATTTCTCACTTTCTGTCTCTCTCTCTCTGTCTTTCTGGGAGTGCATGCACCCTATAGCAAAAATCTCTCCAAAAAAAAAAAAAGTAAAATATAGAACAGTGTATACATAATGTCAATAGTATGCTAACTTTTGTTATAAAATAGAAGAAAATAAGCATACTCTTATTTACTGTATAAACACAAAAAAAATTGAGAAAGATATAAAAGAAACTAGACAAATACATAGTTAGACTCTAGTGACAAGAGTAAGAACATTATGGGTTAGGAACAGAGGAGGAACTTAAAGTGCTGAGTGGGCACTCTAAAGCCATGTGACCTCCAAGAAAAGGGGACTTAGTAAAATCAGTGTGGCTAAAGCTCCAAGAATCTAGCATGCCATGCATGAGGCAAAAGACCAGAAACTGACTCCTTGCTAGAGCTGGGCCAGGAAAAAAAAGGTTCCCCCAACACCTACTTGGAGGGATTAGACAAACCCTGAGAATGGAAATCGGATCTATGTAAAATGTATATATAATACACTCAAAATGGTCCAAAACTGGGCTACTCACAAAAGTAAAACTCCCAACGAAATAGCTGACCTAGAAAGCTATGCCAGTCAAGAGGGTCAGCTGACCCAACTCCAAAACCACACAAAAGGGAAAACACACACGGGGAAAACTCCTATCCAATATGAATCCCTCAAACTAAAACTATAATATACTAGGGAAACACATCATCCGACACAATAGGAGAATTTACACCTGAAAAAAAAGAAATGAATGGGGGGAGAGGGCAGCAGGTTTGAGTCCCAGACCTGTGGCTTGCTGTCTCACTTTCCCTTTCTCCCTAGTCAAAATAATATCAATAATGAGAAATAAAATTAATCTTTAAAAAATTCAAGAAAAAAATGTTTGCAAGAGCACACGAGAGGAAAAGAGAGACAAGGGCTCAGCTTCAGTAGGGCAAGTAGTAATGTGCTGAACTATAGTGCTAGAGTCACATGGTCAATCATGAGTCGGGATCCCTGCGATTTGGAACAAACTGGGTACATGAATAGTTACCCAAGATCCTGGGGAAGCACAGCATGATGTAACAAAACCTTGTCAAGAGTGCCTGTCTCTGTCTCTCACACATACATATACATATGCATGCACTATCATAAATAAAATTTCTTAAAAGTCTATAAAGTCTATAAAAAGCTTGTGATTGTAGTTTGGTTTTGTTTTTTAAAGAAAAAGAGACCAGTTTTTTTTTAAAGATTATTATTTAATTTTACTTACTATTACTACTTTTTAATTTTAGCAGAGAGAAAGAGAAAGGGAAAGTGAGAAAGCAAGCAGCCAACTCTGGGAGTCAAACCACAGTCGGCCATAACCACCACAGCACCTGCCAGTCCCAAGAAGATATTTTTAGAAGTCTCACTTTCTGCCCCAGCTTCCCAGTTAGGGAGGTCTACAAGTGCATGCCACAAGTTCAGTCTGCTTAGGTTGGGTTGGGAACCTGGTCCTCCACTGTG